CCTGAAATGTTTGTCTTTTCATCCTGAAATGCGAGGCAAATGTTGGATCACAATAATTAGGAACCACAGTTTCCACAAATCCCTTCATTTGATTGGGATGTTCGCTTTTATTCTGGAGGGCAAGGGCAATGACTGTACCATCAAGCGTATTTTGCAGTATTAAACACGTATTTATACCGATTTCACGAGGCTCTGAAAATTCTTCAAAAAGAACACAAATAATGTCCTTCTCAGCTGCCATAGTTGCAACTCTTGCGTCATCAGAACAGGGTGTTCAACGCACCACCGTTTCCATTTAAAAATACACTTAATATAAATTAATACACTAAATAGCACTAACACTTAAATTGATTTTAAGTGTAGTACCTGAAGTGTTTTATAATTGCATTGCTTAAAAGTGTGCTACGATCACTTTACATAATTTTTATGGATTTTAATATATGCTATCACTAAGTTCTATTTGGATTTTCATGAAAAATACAGTAGAAATGTTTTACTTAGGGTCAGTTTGGACTTGTGTATTAATTATCCTTTCAATCTATGGGTGTTTACATTTACTTGAATACCATTTACAGTAATTGTCAAGTTATCTAGGGATTCTCAGCCTCAATGTCTGCCCAAACTTGAAAAAGGCTTCAATCAACAGTGAAGGGCGCATGGAATAACTCAAAACATCGGATTCTTGATTACTGATGCAATTTACTGAAGATCCTTCAAACAATAACTTGATCTTCTTTGCATAAATTCAGTGCTTCATTCAGATCTGTTTAGCTTAATAACCTATACAGGAAACACAAACCATATATAAATATAATTATACAGGAGCAAAGACAAACACAGCAGTGAAATAATCAAGTACATTTAAGGATATTGACTACAAACATGCTAGTGTACTCACAAAACACTTATCAAAGAACATAAACATAGCGATTCAACAGCAACGCTAAATCAAATGCTGTTACTGCACATGGTTAATTAGCACATTAGATGCTAAACCCTTTACAATACAAACATCTTGCAAGTCAACATTGTTCTCATAAACCATCTGTAGTTGCTAGAGAAATCTAGAGTCTTTGTCCTACCAGTAGCGTTTCAAAGTTGATGAACACATTGTGGCTTTTCCCAGGTGTTCTTGAATGAATGAACTCAGCATGCACATTAACCCAAACTTGATGGTTACATCAGTGCAGGTTTACCAATCTCTCTCCATTGGTTTTACAACCAGCAGCACCAGCTTAAAAAGGAGCAGTGTATGCACTTCACAAGCAAAGGACCTCCGCACCTGATAATCAGACACACCTGCCTCTATCAGACATGAGCACGACATGGCATTGGCCAATCAGCTTTCTTGTTACTTTCATGTTACACTACATGTTCACAACCAATAGATTTGCTGTTTTTGATCAAGGTTAACATTAATTTTATCAGATAGGCTTTTCCTTACTTTAATAATGATGAACATACATATATACTTCACTCAATTCCTAACTGAACTCAACAGTAATGTTAATCAAATGTATTATTTCTAACATTCAAGTAGTTAATTTATTAATGATGGAAAACAACAGCTTCGTGAAGTGAATACACAATAGGTGTAATTTTAGGATGCATTTAGATGTGTACCAAAATTCACAGTTTAACAGAAAGTATACTTTTAGCATAA